AGCTGTCAAGGGCCGCATAGGTAGCTCCGCCCCTTGGCAGGTGCCTCGACCATGGTCACCATCTTGTGACCAGAAGTCCTGCCCCCTAATCCCTGACCTTTGCCACCAGAAGTCCCTCCCCTTGCCCCAAGAAGTACTTCTTTCAGCAAGGGGGTTTGCCATCTCAGAACCAGAAAAGTACCAAATTATATTCTAAAAACAAAACATCTACAGCATTCGTTAATTTGATTTAAAAAAATATTGTTGTCCCGATGTACATGTGTTTGGGTAGTGCATATAGAAGTGATTGCACAGAAACTTAAAGTGAAGTCTTACTCTTGTATATTGTGGGGGGTGGGTATAGATTTGTGTGGGGCTGTGGGTATGTGGAGTGTGGGTGGGTATGGGGTTGTGGCGGTCTGTGTGTATGGCAGTGTGAAGGGACTGTGGGTGCATATGTATGGTGGACTGTGCATGTGGGACTTGCTGTATGAACACACCCACGCCCACTCACCTACTCTGCCTCTGGCTGCACACACACACCCACCCACAACCACACATACTCTCACATCCTACTGGGCCAGGTCTATGCTCCCTGCTCCAGTGATGCAGCCAGGCTACCTCCGCCCCTGCCTCTCTGCCTGAGGGGGTGGAGCCCATGCAGCCAATTGCTGCCAGCCCCCTCTGGGGCACATGCGTAGTTATGTTATGGACAGACGACGGAAGTACTAAGCCTTTTATTATATTAGAATGTTCAATATCAGGGCCTTGTGGCACTTAAGATGTGTTACCTGCACTTGATAAATGCAAGTGAACATACATTCATCAGTAAAACACACACTTGGTGTGCTCATAGCATAGCAAAGGTAGGGCTTTTTGGGGAAGAGTATCTCCCGTATTAAGTAAAATGTGTTCGGCTATTATTCAGCCACTCTGGAGAGATAACAAGCGATCTGCTGATTGTTGGTCCCTGCCCCAGAACTGCACTGGAGTCTTGAACTGCTTGATCAAGAGCCTGGGAGAGGGTGCTGCTCTTGCCTCAACTCCCCATGCCTTCCTCTGCTCGCTGTCAGAGGCAGAAACCCTGCTCACTCACCAGCACTCTCTAGAAAGGGAAGCAGGCTGGAAGATTGTAGTAAGCATTACTGTGTAACTGCTCAGAACATGTTCTAACTTTTGGTAATGCTTGCTACATTCTAAACACTACATTTACCCAAATCCAAGACAGCTTTCAATCTTAAATGACCCTCCAATAATTAGATTCTATACATGGAAAATCATGAATGGCATGTGCCCCAGGCGGCTGGGGGGGCACAGCTGCACCAGCGGCAGCAAGAGCACAGCAGCAGTGGTGGGAGCACGGTGGTGGTGAGCAGGGAGCTCCCACAGACGCCACCAGCACTGTTGGCGGTGGGGTGGGGTGGGGTGGTGAGTGGCAACCACAGCTGCTGCCGGCAGTGTTGGCAGCAACCAGGGGCGATTGTGGACCACCCGCAGACACCACCAGTGGTGCTGGCGGTGGGGTGGTAAGGGGTGACTGCCCGCAAGGAGTGCACCTCCATGTGCAGGGGGTGGATGTGCACCCTCATGCACCCCCTACACGTTGCCCCTGTGGAAAATTGTACATTTGTTACAATTTTCCATGTAGAAAATCTAATTAGTGGAAGGGTATCTTAAATTTCTCCCCCCTCCGCTGTTTTGACAAGGGTGAGGGGGCAGACCCCTGTTTCTTGCTCCCCTGCCCCTCTGTGCCTGTGTCTGCCCCCATTACCGATCTTCTGCCCCTTGCCCCTTATCTCTGTCTGCCCCTTCCACTCCCTGCGTCCCCCACCCCTTGTTCCACCCTGCAGCTTGCCCCCTCCTCCACCTCCTGCCCACCTTCCCTTACCTTCTGTTGCAGCTGTGCTCCTCAAGGCAGTCGGTAGCAGCGCAGCCCCAGCCTAGCTCACCCCTGCTTTTCTCACCCGCTGCTCCTTCATGCAGCTTGCCCTCCCTCCAACTGTCAAAACCACACCTGTGCCCATGCCTGCCCTCCATTCACTGTTGCCCCTCCACTTGTGTTCTGCTGCAGCTTATTCAGCAGCAGCATGACCTCAGTCCAGGCCAGCCAGGGAGAAGCAGCAGCAACTCCTGGCTGGGCAGAGTTGGGCCTGGAGGGACCAGAGCCAGAGCAGAAGGTAAGGTAGGTGGGTGGGGGACAGCTGGGGAGAGGGGAGCAGAGGGTGGGGGAGGCAGACACAAGCAAATGGAGCAGGGGGTAGAGGGGTAGGTTGCAGGTTCTCCTTCCCCTCGCCCTAGTCTCCCATGCACTCCCCTTGGCCACATGCCCCCTCCCCTGCTATACAAACCATTCCAGCCCAGGGCAGGTGGCAGCTCAGCTCCAGCTCCAAGCACCAGGTTGAAACCAGAGTTGCCACCTGCCTTGGGCTGGTACTCTAATCTAAAACTAGGATCCCCACCCCTCATGCTGACTTTGAGGGAGGATTTCATCTTGGATTTGAGTACACACCATAAAACTCATGCTAAGTGTCTTATGTGATGAGGTGCCAAAAGAGGAGGTGTACCAAAAAAGACTAACCCTAGTAGCTCTTTGTTAAAATCAGATTGGTGGCCACAAGTATCATATTGGGGGTGACTCTTTCAGAAGGATACTGGACCTGATCTGGAGTTACAGTTCCTGAAGCCTGAGAACTGTGAGCATTGGACATTGCCTTCTGATACTTCAGAAGCATCAATATTCAAATAAATACTTCCTATATGCATTGATCTATCATGTGCTGCACATCACCCCACAACACCACTTTCCTAATTTAGGGATAACATGTGCACACACCCCAGGGCAGAGCTAAGCCTTCCAAATTAAAAAGGCATCCTAATGTAGGAGCATCCAGGTACTGCAAGAAAAGGGACTTGACTCATTTATCACTTCGTTCAGAATAGATCTAGTAGCATTGTTCTAAGAAACAAATTATGTGGGATTTGAAATTTATGTACAAATAAAATGGAAACACACAAGTGTTGCTCTTTGGTCAAGGTAATTTTACACTAATGCAATAGAAGTTTATTTTATAGAGTGTTTCATATCCTAACAATAACCCAAACTAGAAAAATAAGAATAAGAACAATAATAGATACAAACGGGGTGCAATATGTTTGCAGATGAGCTGAAGAACAAAGAAAAAATAGCTGTAGAGGGGATGTGACAAGGCTGTAAAACAACAGCACTAAATAAGTATGCTGGGGCTGATAGGTCTCTAGGGAATATGTGTGGGGTGATATTAAGGTTTTAAAGTGTACTTGCGTGAGTTGCTGAAAGAATTATAGTATTATGACTCATGGGTTCTGTAATGTTTCTAGTATTGACAAAGAGAAATATATAATTCAGGAAGTTAAAATTATGCAATATAAATGCCCTGCTCCTAAAAATCAAACAATTTTGTAATGCTATGTTCAACCTTTTTTTTTTTTTAAAGCCCGTCAAGTCATAGTGATTTGAAGAAAGAATCCTCTGTCCTCAACACTGCTAAATCTCAAGGAAGATATGGGTTAACGCCATCACCTCAGCCAAAACTCCTTTCCCAACACCCACTACAAAAGCAGGGAAGAAATAATATGGATCAAACTCAGGTTGTACAGAAACACACAGCCAATGGAGTAGTAGCACAAAACCAGATGGAGTGTGAGGACAATACGTTACCTGATCATAGCACCAATACATCAACTCAAATTTCAGACCCTTTAGTCAACAGTAGCTTACTAAATGGGGAAAGAGAAGGCACTACCATAGACTCATTGCCAACTACAACTGCCTGTGAAGGACAAATTCTTAATAGCTGCTGCAGGACTCCAAGCAGTGGTATATTACTACCATCTGAAAAAGAAACTGTAGAAACCAATATTGATGTAGAGGAAAAACAGAATGATGAACTTGACAAGCAAGACCAGCTTGTAGAAGCAAAGGTAAAATACATTAAATCGTTTGTTTATGGCATATTGCTATACCAGATGTTTTCATCAGCTGTTTTGTGTGTTTGGGGGGAAGAAAAGGGAAATTTGGTTTTGTGTTGTTTCTAAATTTGATTTTTTTTTTTACCAGCTCTGCAAATACATAAAAGATTTATTAAACTTTCAGCAGGAATTAGCATTAAAGCATAGGTACAGAAGTAAAAAACTTGTTGAATAATCAGTGACAACTCAATGAGAACTCAATCATCTGCTGTTCTCAGAAGTGAAAATAAACATTGGAGTCTTCAGGACACCACCAAATTGATACTTTTAGACAGTGACAGTACACCCAAATCTAATCCCAAACATGTGCCATAGTGACTTTAGCATAGATTTTTAGGGTCAGAAGGGACCTCAGTAGATCGAGTCTGATGCCCTGCCTTTGTCAGGAAAGAGCGCTGGGGTCAGATGACCCCAGCCAGGTGCTTCTCCACTCTCCTCTTAAAGACCTCCAAGGTAGGGGAGAGCACCACTTCCCTTGGGAGCCCAGTCCAGATTCTGGTAACCCTTACCATGAAGAGGTTCAATGTGATGTCCAATCTGTACCTGCTCTTTGTCAGTTTGTGGCTGTTGTTTCTAGTTACCCCAAGGGGTGCCCTGGTAAACAGAGCACCTCCTATTCCTTGTTGCTCCCCCCACCCCCCCCGATGAATTTGTAGATGGCTGTAAGATCACATCTCAGTCTTCTCTTGCGGAGGCTGAAGAGATCCAGGTCTGTCACTCTTTCCTCATAGGGTCTTACCTGCAGGCCCCTAACCACATGAGTAGCCCTCCTCTGAACCCTCTCAAAGTATTCCACATCCTTCTTGAAGTGCAGTGCCCAAAACTGGGCCAGTGCTCCAGCTGCAGCCCTACCAGTGCCACATACAGGAGAAAGATCATCTCCTTAGACCTGTTTGTGATGCCACCCTGCTAATGCATGATAGAGTGCAGTATAAAACTGCAACATCTGGAAGACCTGGAGGTAAAACAGTTGGAACTTAGTCTAAGCATAGCTCTCGGGACAGAACTGGAAAGGCAATGGCAAGGTATTAAGATCCCCTAGTTAGGCATAAGGAATACAGGGCTCAATTTATTGTTGTAGAAGATGGCAGAACTATACCAGGATGAGTTGGATGTTTCCCACCGAGCACACTTTTAAAAAAAATTAAGCTGATATGTATAGGCAAATAGGATATTTGTTTTAGAAAATTCAGTTGTTTAAAAAAAAAAAAAGTGTCATTCACAAATAATGGAAACACATCCAACCTTGCTCTTTATATCCGTGGCCAAGTGAGTCTGAGGTTCTGCTACTTTGCACAGTGGGATCTCTTGAAACCTCTGGTAACTGTAAGAGTAAAACTTGGAAGTTGAGCTACATGAGAACATAGTAATATAAGGCCTGTAACAATTAAGTACTGCTGCAGCCATTCTGTAAGGGACAGTAGTATACAAATGCATGGACATACATACTTTATCGGTTTGCAGTGTTTTGCATTTTATGAACTTAAGGTTGGAGGCTTTCATGATTTTGTACTGCATTTCTGTATAGGTCTGCCAGTCTACACCACTTGTCTCTGTTTTTGAACCGTAAAGTTTTCATAATTTGTTTTTGTTTTGACTTATTAACCTTGAAGACCCAGCATATTATTGGGCATATAATCCAAAATAGGTAGTTGTACTAAATGCGTTTAGAGAATAAATTTTGCTTGGGGAAGAGAGGTCTCAAAAATGTTCACATACGCATTGTAAAATATCTTAACCTGTGACTGGGAAGTTATTTTTAACCGATGAGGAACATAATGATACCATCTGTGGATACATCTGATGGGAATGCAAGGCACCTTTGCCCTACCACACCTTCCATTATTATTTTTGCCTCTTGTTCTGTAAATCTTGTTTCCCTCTGTGTGCCTGGTTAGGTGATTACAGCACACTGGATACCCCTTGGGCAGTGCAAGATGGGAATCCAAATTATGCAACAGGTGCTGGCAGTACTTACAGGAAAAGGCAGAAATGCGAAGCTGTTAGGACATAAAATACAGGAAGGAACTGGGCAAATGACTGGAGGAAAAGTTAAAGTGAGCAATCCCATCTAAGTCTGTCCTTGGCCTCTTGAATGACCAACAGATGTTATCTGGCCTCTCCTGACTGAACAGCAAAGGTATCATATTTGAATGGACTATAAACAGTATTGCTGTAGGTTTCTAGAAGGATGGCAGTAGGATATTGGCATGGAAACAAATTACTGCAGGGTGCGGCACGGTGTGAATTTAGTATGTCAGCTATCACTGTAACCGCCCATGTGCATGCTCTTGTCTCGCAATAAGTTCACACCCCAGTTTACCTTACAGTAATTTGCTTGTGTGTCTATGCCTTGAAGTGTTATGAAACTGCAGGTTATGAAGGATTATAGAAAAAATGAGGGCAAGACTCAACAAAGAATTGTTTTGATTGTTGTTGCCAAACCAAGCCTGCATGGGTCTTGCTGAGTCTCAAAATAATTACACGACATGAAAATTGTGAACTTGAAATATTGCACAGCAAAAACCATTTTAAAGGGCTTCAGAAAATTGTCATGCTTGCCAAAGCAACAGCAACTGTCATGGGATTTTGTTTTTCTAAAATCTGGTGACTGCTCAAGGTGTTCTTGCACAATTCAATGAATGTATTGGAGAATGTTTTGGCAGAAAGTTTCGGTTAGAATTAACTAAGGAAAAGAAAACAAATGTATCAAACTTTTTAAAGGTGGTCTGGATGGAAAGTAAGGATATAGATTACTGCCTTTTAAAACTAATTGATGTAGTCCTTGTCATGACAGTGAGGACACTGCTAGCTAGCATCAGTGTCTTGGTCTTTTTAGCAGCTGCCTCAAGAAGCTCTCAGCTGCCTGCTCTTGTCCAAACACTGCATGGCAGATGCTAAAGTTCAGTGCTGGTGCCTGACAGCTTTCAAGTGTATGGCCTTTCCTCAAGTTAGTCTTTCCACCTCTGCTGTGCTCTGTCAACAGGATCTGTACCTTCATTCTGTTGCTCAAACAGCAGCTCTTTTGGAGGCCTGTTATTAGTCAGTTCAGTAAGTGTGCCTAAGCCAGTGAAGGCTTTATGGCTCATAGTTTCCATGTGTGATGACTTGGCTCTAAACTGTGTTTTGTTGTCGGATGCCCTATGATGTTGCTATCCAACTTTGAAGAAGCCAGAATCTGCACACCATGTAGGACGCATCATTATAACCCACAGGCATTCCCCCACTGCATTGTGGTTGCCCCCCTGCTGCACCATGTGTGCAGGCACCACAGGCTGTGCCATGCTACCCCATAGGGCAGGAGCATGAAGTAGAAGCCATAGGAGGAAGGGAGAACCTGGAGACTCCAGCTGCAGCAGATACAGGGAGCTGGGTAAGAGCCTGGAGAGCCACAAATGACCCCTCATGGGCCATATATAGCCTGTGGGTGACCAGCTGGACAGCCCTGTTTTGTGCCATGAACATAGTCCCCAAGATTAGTCTTACACTGCTGACTGAAGCTCTCCAAGGACCTGATGTGGTTTGGTAGTGTGGCCTGAATTTCAGTTGTATATCTTTTACTAGAAAGTTTGCCTGACAGTGTTCTTTTATTATAGCCTTCAGCATTGCCTTTACTTAAGTATCTGGAGGATTCACAGGCATTGTAGATATTAACATAAGGATTTTTCGTTTTACGTTTCTCAAGGTGGAAAGGAGAGTTTCTCATGAAATGAACTTTCTGCCTGAAAGGACATACCCTTTGTCCCATTTGAGAAATAGAGGAAGCAGCTCATCTTTACTTCCAAGACCCTGCTTCTGCAGCTTATCTTCCCTCTGAGCATCAGCAGTGTGGGAACACTGCTATATTTCTCTAAAGGAAGAATATTCACAATGTCTTCTATTCAGCACCCAGAAATGTAGTAACATAGTCTTTGCCTGTTGTATCTGGTCTCCATGGTCTCTCTATTCCTCAGAAACGGGTGGTATACAGGAAATTGCACAAGGATGTTGTAACACAATGGCCTATCAGAGATAGCAAGAGTAAAACAAGCTATGTGATAGTGTGCCCAGCTCCTAGGATATTTATCACTAATCTTCCACTATTTGATGTTTTTCCTTAGAGTCCCAGCTGCTGGAATCAAGTGACTTCAATGAAAACAAAAGTTCTCACAAAAAGTACATTTGCTTGCACAAAAATCTTGTGATCCTGAAGCAAAAATTACCTAAAAGTCTTTAAAAAAGAAGTCTAAAAGAACCCTAAATGTGTGTGTGTTGTGCGGGGGGGTACACTTATATTTTAGCCAATTTCATGATGGTCTCTCTTGGATGAAATTCATATTTTTGAATGAAGGAGTTTGGCAGTAAGGACAGTATAATAATCACAAATTATGGTATTTTTCTCTCCATCTATTTTGCTATTTATATTAGACTGTAAGCTCCTTGATGGAAGAACCCTTTCTGAAAAGGAAAGGATCATACTTCGTTTCCATCATAGTTTTTAGGCACTTTTGGGAATGCTTTGTCAGTACTAGACTAGACTTAGTTTACTGTGCTAAGACTGACTTAGATCAACTGGAATGTAGGGTACCCAGAAAATTTGATTGAAATATACCCAATTTGTAAATCTCAAAGGTCATGAAAAAATACCTAGAGTCTGTATATGTTATGAATATGGAAGAGCAGATGTTTTCATGCTTCAGCATAATTTCTGATTTCAAGAACCTTTTAAATGCACACAAACAAGATAAAGGAAATAGTTTAATGGTGAAATGATCCTAAAATTGAATAACCCTAAATTTGTATTAAGAAATATGTACCTAGAACTAGATAAAATATTTATTTTTAGGCTCCATATATAAGCTAAGAATT